TTTTCTTTGTAAAAACTTCAATTGAATTTCAATAAAGTTAAAGGCATGGCCTTACTGTTAATATTTAAAAAAAAAAAGGCTTATTCAATTATAAAAGCTTGATTTGTAAATTAGTTTATACATATTAACTAATATATTTGTTTTGTCTCTCATTTTATATATACTTATTACTATAAAAAACACTAAATAAATATGTTTCATCATCATTGAGTATTCTATACAGCCTTTGTGAGTATTGGCTAGCTAATATGCACTTTCTCATTATAAATTATTTGTATAATTATTCTGACTAGCCATCTCATAATTGTGACTGTTGTCCAAACAGGTCACAATTCAAAAATCTGCAAATTGCAAAAAATATGAACACTGTGAGACTTGTGAAACCTACTTATCCTTGTCCTTTTTTATATATAACTGCTATTCTAGCAAGCCAGTTTACTACAATGATGCTTAATTCATGAAAAGAGTAGGTAGGTCAATATAACCAGTATGAAAGCTGGGTTCACAGAAAAGACAAAATTATCTTTTAATATTTCTACAAATTTACTTTAATATACTATTATTCAATTACTTCATAATTACTCAATAACCCAATTACCTTATAATTACTAAACTACTTCTAACTTACTAAAATATTATTATTGATCAAACTATGATCAATGAACCTATTACTAATAACTCAAATTACCTTATACTTTTGTTCAAATAACTAACACTTGATTGCACATATGACTGTAATAGAGCTTATTATATATTTGATATACTAGCATATGATTCAAGACAAAAGCTGCTTTGATACTTATATATTGAGCAGCTAATTTGTTTTGTCTCTTATTTCCTATATACTTATTACTATGAAGAACACTAAACAGATCTTTCAAGAGTATTATAAAAAGAAAATTGATATCCTTAATAACTTTTTAGTCATATAAACTAACAATAACTCAACTTACTTACAATCAGACAGCAAACAATTTATCACTAAAATCCTATTAATATCAAAGCTCTTAATTCAGCTAACTCTACTAATCTCATATATAATTATGCAGCATCTAAAACCTAACTACTAATCACTTGAATTTGCTCTAATAACATTTCTTCTTTTATGGCTGCAGTAGTACTCTCAAGTCTTAAGCTATGTACTATAAACTTATCTTTTAAATTGGCATGCTTAACAAAATGTTTTATTACTGCTATAACTAACAAAACTGTTATTTTATTTCTTGATTTTGACAGAAAAAATGATGCATCAATTGTTATTTTAGGTTTTATTTTAAGATACTTAGCTATTCTTTTAACTAAACAATATTTGCTATTAGATATCTCAATTGACACAAATTTCCTTTTTACAAGTTGGTCCATATTTGACTTATTTATTCTTACTTATAAAAATCCATTCCTTATATTTATATCTTTTTTTTTTAATTTACTAAGTTCTTCTAATTGTCTTATCATTCTTAAGTCTAGAACTATTAATGCCAAATCTCTAGTCCACTTTTTGAAACTTGTATCCTCTAGAGGAAAGTCCAAATATTGCTTAACTATATCAATAAGCAACAGATTCCTTGACCACTTAGCTTTTACATTTCTTGGCATAATCTTTTTAATATTACTAGCAATTATTTGCACTATGCTACTTTTTGACAGATTATACAACACCTTCAACTAATAAACTCTAGCAATTGCAGCTAAGCAATTTTGTATCTAAACACTCCATTCTAACATTTCCAACTAGTTTAAAAAAACTGTTATTATCAACTCTGATGCTGGACAAGATTTACAATTTATTTGTTCTGTAAAATTAACAAATAAACTCTATATCTTGTCTAACTTTTTTCTATAGGTCTTACTAATTGCATTTCTTTCTAAAGTATTTACACAAACTAACAATTTTTTACCATCCATTTGAATCACTTTCAAATTCTAATTTGCACTTTTGCAAGGTTCTCTGTGACCTAATGGACCTGCTTGCACAGCCTTCACTAGTAATAGTAAATCTAATATTTCTTTTTTCAACTGTATTACCATTGATCACCATGGTGTCACAATCCAAGCTGAAATGCTAATTATTATTACAACTCTACATTCTTTTGCATGAACTAATGAATAATGAATTAGAGTAAATGAAGGGCATGTGTAATTAATACACTCCTTTCAATCTTGCATAAAGCAGTCTACTGCTTCCATTCTAGGACAATGATATAAACTGTTGAACCTTTTCAGCTTGGTATTTATGTGGCTCACAAATCTGTTCACATCAAATTTTTTTTATCATCTTTGAAGCTAATTTACTATTTTTGCTTTTATTTTTCAATCTCCAAAATCTATTACCTATAAGTATGCATCTGCTAGGTTTTCTAAACTTGAAATCTATCTTGTATAGTAAATATCTATATCTTTCTTTATACAATATTTTTAAATCTTTCCAGCAATATTCTTTTGCTATTGCAGCATTCATCTATTTATTACTACCTTTAATATTATCTTGTTGTCTATTACCAATATAATTTATAATCTTTTTAATTAGTTTTTAAATAATTGTAGGGTCTAAAGCATAGTGATTACCTCCAACTGTGCTATTATACTTGCTATCAATTGATATGTCTAGTTTTTTACCATAACTAAACCTTAGTAAACTCTACATCAGCCTATCAGTGATGTGTCTACAAACAGACACTTCTTTTTTAATGGTTTTCATGCAAAACATCTATTCCAAAGTTCTAAATTCTCTATTAACTATTGAATATCTTTCATGGCCTGCTTGGACAAAATAATCATCAAATCTCAATTATTCTAGCAACAGTTTCTTGCATCTATTAACTTGTAAAACTTCAAACATTTTACTTAAGCTAGAGAAAATATCCTTTCCAAGCTCTAAATCTTTCCTGAAACTAATACTAGTTTTTATACAAACACTTTTGATTTCTCTAACAATGTTTTCAATTGTGCAACTATTAAAGAAATCTTTTTTACTAATACAATCACTAAACCCTCTATTGTATCCACAATAAGACTGCAGAATTTCAGTCTTTAAATTAGATTACAACTTCTTTTTTCTATTACTCATATCCATTCACATCTTTGCAAATTCTTTTCTATAACTGCCTGTTTCTGCTCCAACAAGATTTCTCTTGACAGATGTACTATCTACACATTATTTAAATAATTTCTGCAAAATATTTTTCTTGCTTTTCAACTTTCTATAATCACTTTCATTACCTTTGCAAAAATCTATTGAAATTGACTCAAGCCAAAAGGCAACACTTTATAATAAAACTACATTTTGTGAAATAGAATTCTAGAAAGTGCTAAGCCACCTTGTCTATTAATAGATAGTAATGACCTTTCTTTAAATTAAATATTAACACCTACTAGCCTCTGTCCTTAACAAAGTCTCTACTCTTTGAACTTGACTGACTTCTTTGGTAACATCTAGTTCAATCTTCTGAGATCTATAACCAGGTGAAATTTTTTTAGACTTTGTTTTGGCATTACAAATATCAGACTTACTTCCAGCACAACTAACTCTATTGCACCAGACTTCTTTATTTTCTTAATTCTTCTTTTATCTATTTTTTCTCTTCTATAGTAAAAACTCTTGATTCTGGCATCATGCCTAATACAAGATTCATAACACCTTTTGGAAACAGAAGAATCTCTTTTTCTAACCATTCTAACACTAATGGTGTCAGCTTTATCACATCCTTCCAATACCTTATTGCCAACTTTAAGTATAACCTTTCTGTTACATACTGTTTGTCATTATTTGACACCATATCCTTCTTTTCTTTTATTACTATCTTCTTCTGAGTATTGTTAACTCTTTCTCTGTAAAGAGTTCTCATTCTAAAGGGGCATATTCAAGTGCTTATATGAATCATATTTATTAGCATAATGCCATTTTTCTTCACATAGATAGCAAACAACTTCTTTCTTTATATCAAATTTCTTTCTTACACTGAACTTCTAAAACCAGAAAAAGGTAAGTACTTATTACCTATTAGTAAAAATAGGTTCTATGAAACTATTCTATGTTGCCTGTTGCTCTGATATGTATGAATCCATATTGCCAACTTCTATAATTACTCACATTGATACCAACCTATATTGGTTAACTACTATTACCAAAATAGTAAAAAAAAAGGATAGGCTTAAAAAATAACAGCATAACAGCTTGTTCTTAATGCACACCCAAAAAGAAATTTATAGTATTCTTTTGTTAAGCATCCATCTTCTGACCCCTTTTCTGCGTTGGCTTCAGTTTCTTACTTTTAAAACCACTTTGTACTGCTAACCTAGCTCTTTTCTTTTTTTCTCCAAACATTTGTGACATAGAATCAACTGTATTATTAGACACCATCTTCATAGCAATGCTTCACCCATCTTGATTAGCAATTCTAACTACATATGCTTTTTCTAATGCCACTTGTTTAGCCAGCAGCAAATAGTCAACATTTTCTATATTTAAGGCTTTATCTATTAATAATCCAAGCTTATATTATTTATTAAACTCTTATTAATTTCTTGCTTTTGACAAGTTTTGCTTTTTTCATAAACCCATTTTATCACTATAATTATTGAATACAAATTTATCTTTTCTTTCAGAAAACTGCAATGTCTAATGCACACCTGTTGCCTTTGTTTCTAAATATTCTTCTTCTTGTTTATTGATATTTAAACCTCCTACACTATGCATGTAATCCTACATATAGAAAAATACCCTTGTGTTACCTACATCATTATCTAAAGACATCAATTTTCCCTTCTTTAACAGTTCACCAGACACCTTATCTTTTCTTTTACATTCACTAATCAGTTTATTAACTAAGTTCTGTTTTAAACTAACATCTGAAATACCTATCTCTTAACATAGAAACTTTAACATTTTAAATAACAAACAGCCAAAATTTGCTTTAAAATTGACTTTGTTATAGAATAGTTCAGGATCATTAGTTGACTGAATAATCAAGCTTCATTAACTATAACTTTATTTTCTCTGAATTACTAAATATAATAAACTAAGAACAATAAACTAAAACAATAAACTGAAATTAATAAACTAAAAAATTCTATATTAAAATACTAAGATTATTTTGCTTGATATAACCAGAATAAAAGTCAGGTTCACAGAAAGACAAAATTACTCTTCAATACTTCTACAAATTTATCTTAATATACTACTATTCAATTATCTTATAATTACTCAATGGGGTGTGGCGACCTAGTGAAGTGGTCAGGTTGTCAACCCCCCAAGTGGTAGGTTGGGTGTTCAAATCCCATCG